CCTAACCCTTAACCTAACCCTAAACCTAACCCTAACCCTTAACCTAACCCTAAACCTAACCCTAAACCTAACCCTAAACCTAACCCTTACCTTAAATTGAATCGGCTTGCTTCGCGGTTTAATCGGGCGTGGCTTAGTTGAGCACGGTTTTGTCGTGCCACGCTCATAAGTGGAATAGCCTAGGGCCTCTTTTCATCTAAATCCGGCCCTGCCTTCAAGGTCCCTTCCAGATCTGATCTTCTATATTCCTTCCTACCTCGTAAGAGCCAGCCTTTCCTTTCCATAGCTCTGCTAGATTTCAGCCTTCAGATTTCCCAGGCAACGTGACCCAAGGCAATTTGGGAGATGCAGTCCAATCTATCTAGAAAGGATTACTTGGTGGAAGGAAATCAAAGCAGGCTTCCCATATGGTTAGGCCAAGGAGCTGGACCCCTTACCAATTCATTTGGAAAAAAAAGTCATAAATAATATCCCTCAAGGATGTGACAGGTTGCTAAAATCTCCGGAGCAGTGTTTCTCACCCTTGGCAACTTTAAGAAGATGTGGACTTCAATTCCCAGAATTCCCCAGCTACAGGACACAAAGGTTTGCAGGCCATTAAAAATGGAACGGCATTGTGTTAGCATGTTATACAGTGCCTTCATTTATCACAGTGTAGCCTTGAGGAATTCCGAACATACCCAAAGCACATTCTTCAAACATTCTCCCTCTTCCCACTATAGTGGGCAGGCATACGCACGCACACGCACACACAAATACACACAGAGCCTGTAGAAAACAATTTCAAGAGCATCATCTGTGTTCCATGTAATAAAATTATGTCCCTGCGTTATACAAGTGACCAGGATTGGAACAGGAACATTCACACGATCAGCCAGACATATACATCAAGGTTGCACTACCATAATTTAGTGTTGTACCTATTTATTCCTCTGCCTCTGGGTTGGAATACTGTTGCTTATGAAGTCCATATGGTAAAGGTTCCCCTTGCACGTATGTGTTAGTTGATCCTGACTCTAGGGGGTGGTGCTCATTTCCATTTCAAAGCCAAAGAGCCAGCGCTGTCCAAAGACGTCTCCGTGGTCATGTTGGTGGCATGATCAAACGCCGAAGGCGCATGGAACGCCGTGACCTTCCCACCAAAGCGGTTCCTATTTTTCTTGCATTTTTACCTGCTTTCAAACTGCTAGGTTGGCAGAAGCTGGGACAAGTCACGGGAGCTCACTCGTGGCACTAGGGATTCGAACTACCGAACTGCCGGCCTTTCTGATCGACAAGCTCGGCGTCTTAGCCACAGAGCCACCGCATCTCATATGAAGTCCCTACTTCTATGCATAAAATCCACGTACTCAGGAACAGGCTAAAGCAGAGGGAGTTGAACTCTATAAAGGGGGGAAATCCTGGTGAGATCTCAAAACCCAATTCCTCTCCCGTGGCGTGGAGGAATGGAGCATTCTGTCTCTAGCCGGCCAGCCCTCTTCTTTGTTTGGGTGACATTCCGTCCAATCACCTGGATGAAATTCCTTGTTGCCTGTGGGTGGCTCAGCAAATGGAAAGGAGCAATTTTCCTCTTAAGCACAAAAGTGGCGTTTAAACAGCCAGCTCCTAACCTCACCACATAACAAAGGCAAACATTACTGGCCAGCAGGAATCCTCCAGCATTTCGGGGGGGAATACATAAGTTGAATGAATAAAAGTGGTAATGATGCTAAGACTGTCCCCCACACACACACCCTATAGCTTTTTGGGGGGCACCAGAGAGCAACCCCACTGCATGCCCTGGTGCTCCAGCTGATAAGGACTAGCCAGGTACTAGCCAGTTGATGGGGAAATGAAAGACTTTGGCCAGGTAGCACTGGCCTCGAAAGACAAGGAGCTGATATCCCTTCACCTCTTGATCGCTGCTCTTCTTCTCTCCCCAAAATTAGGCTCGTATGCTAAAAGTGTCAGGCAAGCCGCTGTCTGCGCTCAAGCTAACCATCATTTAACTGAGGGCTGGAATAATGACACAGTCCAAGGGAGCTGGTGAGGATGGAAAGAATAAGCTGCTCCTTTTCGGGAGCACCAGGGCCAGCTCCAAACGTAACCACCCACAAGTGCGAGATGTGCTTCGAGAGAGGCAACCAATGTACTAAGCCAAACATTCCCCCCCCCCCACTCCTGCAGCAGCCTGTCTTCACTCTTCTCTCCCCCCCACAGCACACAGCCAGTGGAATTTGTGTGTGGGCTCTGCTTGCTGAAATGCAGAGCTAACATAATTGGGCACCCACCAAGTCTCCTGTTCCTGGGAAGATGCCGCCAGCTTTGCCCAGATACTAAGTGTGGATGCTCTGACTTACCCGGTCTTGGGGAAACCTGGATTTTAATCCCAGGAGGACAGAACTGACAAGGGCTGCAATCTAAGGTCACGGGATAGATTTGGGCATCGGTCAAGGCTGCCTCCTCCCTCGAGGGCCGAGTCTCCGGTCTCCCCAAGAAGCCCACTGCAGTTTGGCTTTGTTTCCGGTGGCTTCCCTGGGCGCCGGCATCTGGCTCTCCTACCTCGAAGGCATTCAGACGTTCCTCTTTCCTTTCCAGATCTCCCACCCACCCACCCTGCCCGGGAAATTCAGTGTTGGAGGCATGAATGGGCAAGGACAGCTGTAGAAGGTTGAAAGGTAAGGTGCGTCAGAAGTGGTATGGATGTATCCAGACGGTTCCTCTTGCACTCCAGAGCATGAGTTTGTCCCATAGCTTCCTCCCAACCTGTTTGTCAATGCCAAAAAGGCTGCATAACTTCTTCTAAATGCTCTCTCTCTCCCCCCCCTCTCTCTTTCCCTCCCCCTCTCTCTCCCTTCCTCTCTTTCTCCCCCTCTTTCTCTATCACCCTCTCTCTCTTTCCCTCCCTCCCTCTTTCTCCCTCCCTCTCTTTCTCCCCCTCTTTCTCTATCACCCTCTCTCTCTTTCCCTCCCTCCCTCTTTCTCCCTCCCTCTCTTTCTCTCTCCCTCCCTCTCCCCAACTTCTCTCTCTCCCTCCCCCACTTTCTCTCCCTCCCTCTCTCTCCCCCCCCCTCCCTCTCCCCCCCACCCTCCCCCTCTCTCTCTCCCTTCCCCTCTTTCTCTCTCCCCCTCCCTCTCTCTCCCCCCTCTCTCCCTCCTTCTCTCTCCCTCCCTCTTTCTCTTTCTCTCCCTCCCTCCCTCTTTCTCTCTCCCTCTCTCTCTCCCTCTCTTTCTCCCCCACCCTCTCTCTCTTCCTCCCTTTCTCTCTCCCCCTCCCTCTCTCCCTCTTTCTCTCCCTCTTTCTGTCTCCCTCCCTCCCTCTCTTTCTCTCTCTCCCTCCCTCCCTCTCCCTCCCTCTCTCCCCCCCTCCCTCTCCCTCTCCCCCCCCCTCTCTCTCTCCCTCCCTCTTTCTCCCCCCTCTCTCCCTCCTTCTCTCTCCCTCTCTCTTTCTCTCCCCCTCTCTCCCTCCCTCCCCCTCTCCCTCTCTCTCTTTCTCTCTCTCTCCCCCTCCCTCCCTCTCTCTGTCTCTCTCTCTCTCTTCCACTGAAAGCTGTCTCCAGCTTTGGCAGTTTTCTGCAAACTAAAGCATCCAATTATGAAGCAGCTCACCAGGTTATTGAGGAATCTTATCTGTTATTGGGTCAAACCAGGTTCCAGAGAACAGGACTGCTGAGACCTTGAGTCAGCTTAATCTAAAAGGCTGCATCACTTTGGGATTGAAATTCCCCCCGGGGAGGCTTGAAGCAATTGGGGGGGGGGGTGGCAAGCAGAGGCATTCCCTTTCCTTTGTGACTTGGGATCAGTCCCTCGGATTGATCTGAATTGCTGTCTCCCCTCAAAAAGACAATTCCTGGGGGCAGATTCCCTTGCTTCAGTCCGGTTGATGGAACAAGCAGAATGCGAAGTTCATTTGGAGGGACCAGGGAGAAGAGGATATAACTGGAAAAAGTCCTCGGAGGGAGGGAGGGAAGAGCAAGGGGCCAACTCTTTATTTGAGATAGCAACGTCGCTTGAGCTGGTTCCTTTATCTCTCCAGAGCAGCATATTTACTTTGCAAAGAAGAAGAAAAAAATCCGGATCCAATCTCTGCTGGTTGGAGAATTCTGGGAGTTGAAGTCCACACACACACACATATCTTAAAGTGGCCAAGGTTGAGAAACGCTGCTCTGGCGAAAAGGACCAGATAAACAGGTGCTGAGAAAATACCTTTATGCAACACCTCAAAACGGGCACAGCAAGTGAAATCATGGGGAAATAATCTGAATCGCTTTAAGTCTGTTTCCTTATGTTGTGGGAACAAAGGTTAAAGCAGCTTTCCCCTGTGTTTGTCTTGTGCCCAAGTTATGTTGGGCTAGAAACAGCCATTATCCACAGCTCCTGGGAAGAATGATGGGGTGTTGTAGTCCATCCTGATTGCCAAACAGGAGGTTGAAAAAGATTAGACTGCAGGAATAGCTGAGCCCTCAGAAGCTTTTGCTATAAATGTTTTCTTTCGAGAATCACCAGAATATCTTGCATTTCCTCAGGACTAGCAGGGGGGTTTTTTGCCTATGGATATCCCACCTTAGAGAGGGACGTGGTGGCTCAGTGGCTAAGACACTGAGCTTGTCGACCAGAAAGGTCGACAGTTCGAATCCCTAGTGCCGCGAAACGGAGTGAGCTCCCGATACTTGTCCCAGCTTCTGCCACCCTAGCAGTTCGAAAGCACGTAAAAATGCAAGTAGAAACATAGGAACCACCTATGGTGGGAAGGTAACAGCGTTCCGTGCATTTAGTCACGTCAGCCATATGACCATGGAGACGTCTTCAGACAGCGCTGGCTCTTCGGCTTTGAAATGGAGATAAACACTGCCCCCTAGAGTCAGGAACGACCAGCCCATATGTGCAAGGGGACCTTTACCTATCCCAGCTTAAAGATATAACCCACCTTTTCACCACCTTTATTTTTGGCAGGAGCTGATGGTCAGGTGGAAAATAGGGTGGAGTCAGCTAAATGGGCTTGACTTAAGCATGGAGATAAGAACCTTGAAAATAAATACTAGATCATACTCCAAGCCAGTCTGCATCTACTCAGAAGTAACCCCTGTTGTGTTCAAGATGACATGCCCTAATTAATGCACTCGGGAGTTCAGCTATGATTAATGAGTAGGATACTTCTAAAGTATTTACTACAAGACATTTTAAAAAATAAATCTGATGATGATTATTGCCACTCTGGACAAATGACTGTCTGAAAATGGAAATCTAGAATTAAAAGTATCTGAAATATTCCAGCTGGTTGATGTAGGAAGGGGATGGGGAGAGGTTCGGGTTTCCTTGAACTGGTTTCTAGTCATTGTCATTAATCAGGCAGTTCTGTGCTTGTCCGTTGAGAAGACAGGCTATTTGAATTCACAAGGGTTTGGATAAATGGGTATCATGCTGAATGGAGGACACTCTTAAGAGAATGATGTTATGTGAGATTGACAAGCAAGAGCTCTGGGCCAGCTGTATAATTATGTAAAATGAGACAGCTGCCTTGGCAGCAGATGGAGTGGGAAAGCACAGAACAGTGCTGAAGAACAGAATTATGTGAGCCATATATAGACCTGTCATATCTGGGTAACCAGTAGATGGCAGCAAAAGAGATTCTGAGGCCCTCGACTCTTTGCTGCCACCTACAGGCTGCCCATTCCAATTACAGTGACTCTATTCACATCAGTTATAGTACTTTCAAGCCCTGTTAACTCCTGTGGGAGTCAGATGGGGGAAACCACTTCACACAACCAACCTGTGCCATTTATACTTCTTCAGGCGTTGCTCTCTTTATGCTTTCAGATGAGACATGGGGACTGGGTTTGTAAATCCTGCTAAGCCAGATGATGTTTGTTGAATTCGGACTTAACACATTGTCAGACCCAAGTGCTATGGTTTATAAATCTTAGAGCATGCCTTAATGTATTGTGTGAATTGTGCCAAACTTGTTTTCATTAACAAGATGCCACTAAAAAAAGCAATCTGATTTAGAGTAATAAAGGCAGAAAATAATTGTATTTACTTCCTTGCACACATATTGTGCTTTTTCCCTTAAGTTCAAGGAGGCACCTCCAAGGGTCTTCTTTCATCTTGCCCATACCACTGTAGGAAGTTAGCACCCAGCCCCTCCCCCTAGAAGAATGAAATATCCTAGGAAATATCGAAAAGGCAGAATAGGATATTTCCCTGGATAAGAAATGGAGAAACATGTTTTAGGCAGGAAACAGGCTCATTCTTAATAGCCCCCACCTTTGTCAATGGGCCATTAAAAGGCCTGAGAGAGTCTACTCTATATATCAAAGATCTCTTCCCTTCAATTCCAGGGTGATGGGATTAAGGCATGATACTGATGAAAGAAATGTCCTTCTGGGTTCGGCTCCAAGTGAGGAAAAAGACACTGGAGACATGGAGGCTGCTTGGAAAGACGGTTTATTGGTGGACAGGGACACCTGGCTTGAGCCCTGAACAGGAAAGGTGATCACATGCTTCAATGTTGGTGGAGAAGAAGAGAAGGGCTGAGGGAGGGGCTCGCTAGGCTTTTTATAACCTGTACAGTCCCACCTCTCTGTTTCCTGTTCCTGTGTAAGAAATGTATTCTGATTGGTTGTCAGACTCCCATGGGGCCATGCAGGGGCAACCCTCTAGGCTGTGTTTTGAATCCAGGTTTGGTTGAGTTCTCAGATGCCATGTGGTGAGTTGGGGCCAATATTAACATGCTTTAATCCCATCCCCCTGGAGCTGAAGTGGAGACGTCTTTATTATGTAAAGGGACTAGCTTGAGCTTCTTAATGGCCCATTGACAAAGTGGGGATGGGCAGGAAGCTACAGGCAGCTATTCTGTCTTTTAAAACATGTTTTCTTTTCACATCCAGAGAAATATTCCGCCTTTTCAATATTTCCTAGGATATTTCATGTTTCTGGTAGAGGACTGGGTGATAACTTCCTACAATACTATTAGTCCTTTACCCATCTCATCACAGGGCACCTGGGAAAAAGCAATGCTCAACCAAACTTGGACTCAAAACACAGTCTACAGAGTTGGCCCTGCCTGGCCCCATGGGAGTCTGACAACCAATCAGAATACAAGCTCAAGATCAAAGGCTAGAGAGGGCATAAAACCAGGGACTTTCAGCATCTCGCTCTCTTTTTCTTCTTCACCCAACATCTTGACGCATGTGATTCCCCCTTTTCTGTTCAGGAGTTCAAGTCATGTGATCCTGTCCACCATTAAACCATCTTTCCAAGCAGCCTCCATGTCTCCAGTGTCTTTTTCCCCACTTGGAGCTGAACCCAGAAGGACGTTTCTTCCAACACCGCAACAGCCCTGTAAGATGGGTTGAGAGAGCCACCCTCAAACACAACCAAGAACAGCAGCTTCTCCTAAAGCAATATTTCTCAAACTTTAAGATCTGTGGATTTCAACTCCCAGAATCCCCCCGTCAATGCATGCTGGCTGGGGAATTCTGGGAGTTGAAGTTGCACGTGTCTTAGAATAGCCAGGTTTAAGAAACATCGCGTTAAAGCCTTTCCCCTCACAACCTTTTTGTTTTTAAAACACGTCTTAGCATTGTACAGATTCTCAGTCATCCAAGTCAGGGTTGTCCCAAAGGTGCTTTTTTTCAAAAGGCAACTGGAGTTTCTGCATCCTAAAAAGATGAAAATA